TGGATCTGCTGCTTAATTATTGCTACTGGATGAATGGAGTGTCAGATGATATTTGCTTTGAACACTCCATTATCACTACGCTATCATCAGCCATCGCACCTCAAGCATTAGCAATCATTGATGCATAGCTTTAGTCAATCTCGCATCAACCTCTTGTAATTCAGCTCTCGACTCTTTCGTCATTGGATAGTTTCTCCCATACTGTGTTCTTCGAAGCGACAGTCACTAATTAAGCAGAACTGGAACCGAATTCACACTTGAACCTCAGGACATCCTCGAAATCGCAAAGAACCTCTAACACATAGAGGAGGCCATCTTTGCTCCTCATTCATGTTTTTCATGCCATCGCTTATATTACTTTTTCTGCTTCTTTCCTCACTTGTGTGGCGTGCCAGAAGTCAAAATTTGGAAAAATCGAGATCAGTATGGGTAGAGCAGGGTTTGCTGCGCGGCAAAATCTACAAAATGGCCGATAACTACATGCAGATTTTTCGTGGAATACCGTATGCCGAACCACCTGTTGGACCACTGAGATTCAAGGTAATAGCTGACTGGTAGTTGTTTGTTCAATCTGAAAAAATTGCGACTGGTACATATAAAATATTTGGATTAGAAATAATGGATCACCAAATATCACCTGTAGCCACGGACATATTGAACAGCAGTCTGTCTGTGTTTCATCCCTTAACTGTAAACACAAGCAGAAGAGAGCGTGCGGATAGGAATGGGGACTAATGGCTTCTCGTCCGCCACATATTTGATGAAGTTTGCATGACTCAAAATTAATTTTTTTTTTGAATCTCTGGAGAAAAGCAAGATCAATGGCACATTTAAAGTTGAAAAAAAAGTTCAGTGGTTCTAGTTTTGCACTATTTTCTCTCATTATTGTGGTACTTAAATTTTTTCCATCTACTTTTAGCTTTTTAGCAGTAGCTTTTCCTCATGATTTTGAAGCCGCATGACTTAAATCGAACTTTCTTTTAGTGAATTTTACAACTATAACAGTAGGATTTAGGGTTTTTTTTCAACTTGATTCATTAGAATTCTTCATTCACTCGAATGCTTTTGGCACTTCTAAACACAATGTGGGATGGTAAGCGATTTTTCCGGACAAACAAAGCTACCAAAATTTCAGTTACCTGCAACTTGCGCCAAAGAAATATAGCGCTTCCTTGCACAAAAAAAGTGAGAAGCATCCTGTGCGCTGCAACAGTCAGCAATCACTGCAGTGTTTAAAAAGCAAAAGATGTAATTTCTCTCAAATTTTTTTTTTTTTCACTTCTGTGATCTTAATTTACTGCTCAGTGGAGGAGTCCGCAAACGTTGGCTGAGTGCATTTTTAAATATTGCCGGCCATTTCGGAAGTAATTTTGCACAGTTTATATAGCAATGTGACGTCTAATAGTATGCATAATTTTTAGCAACTAATAAAAACTGTATTACGGTAGCTTATGGGTTCAGAAATTTAAAATTACCTTCCATGTTGTCTTATATGTTGAAGCGGAAAAGTGAAGAATTTGACCTCAAAACATGAAAATACACATGTGGTTAGGCTATATATTATTATTTGGCGAAATACCTTTTGCACTTACGTTGCATTCGCTCACTGTGACAGCCCTGCAGGTTAATAACAGCAGTGCTTAACTGGATTAGTTCCTGTTGCTCGCCTGAAATCCTGATTTAGTTGGAGATAAAGAAAAAAGTGAGAGAGATTTATTGCATCCGGATAGTGCTATCAATCTCTCTTATTTCCGCCGTCCGAATTTGCCGTTTTATTTTCAGTTCTAACTGATTTTTGTGTAGCCAACGAAATCCTTCCACAGGCCGTCAGTTCCTGCAAAACAAAATGATTTTGTACAATTCAACGAAATTCAGATGGTTAAAAAAATCTTCGAACTTTAAATGAAAGTATATGAATAAATAATCCGGCTATTGCAGCGGCCAGTAAAACGAGCGCGATGGCACCAGGAGTACTCAGCGCTGGATTACGGAGCACCTTGTTTGCAGTTCATGGAATTTCATAAAAACGACAGATTTTCTGGTCCAAATATGGAAAATGAAAGCGAGGACTGCTTGTTTCTCAATGTATTTTCGCCATACGTAAGCTGACTGCACTGCATTTCCAAACATCCAAGTCTAGAAACTGCACAGCATCAAGTCCGTTTGTTCACAGTGCAGCCGCCGTACTAACGGGATCCACTTGCAGTGTTGGGTAGAAACGTATATGAATTTATGGACTGAAAAATTCCTTTTAAGAATTTTAGCTCTAATTTTTTTTTCACAATATTTCGTAACCTCAGTTTCTTCCAAATATGTATTCGCTTTTTAGCGCTGTTGTAGTATGTATGTGTGTGTTTGTGCACATGAGTGTGTGTGCTGAGTTTGTGTATCTGTCAAGACTAAGGTACTGCAGATTTGGACTGCTTACCTTTTGGGGTTAAAAAGCTTAAAACAAACATTCTCATCTGCTACCACAAACTTTTCGTGCTGAAAACAGCAGGTGCTAATAATGTAGGTGTGGTGACCCATCAGACGAGGGCTTGTACGCAGTTCTCCATTGTCGTTTTGTCTTTATTTATGACTGCAATATGAATCTAGTTCGTTGTCCACCTACAAACTTGTTTGGATTAAAAGGTTATCACTGAGTGACATGTGAAAACAGTGCATTGGCTAACTTGCGTTTTTACTGTATCATCAAATCAAAAAAGTTGTTTATTGTTGTTTATTTTTCACAAAATTGCTAGCGTTTGTTATCAGCTTGTTACTGAAGTGAGAAAATATCAAAAAGTAATACCCGTACCTCTGATCCTAATGGCAATATAACAACAGTAATCTTTTTTTCTCATTGTAGGATCCACAGGACGAGTCGAAGCTGTATCCAGTTCTTGTGTGGATCCACGGGGGATCGTTTTTGGCCGGTTCAGGCGACACAAGCATCGATATGGAAGTGGTTGCTAGACATTTCATTTTCAACGGGGTCGTGCTTGTAACACTCAATTACAGACTTGGGCCATTAGGTATGTTATCATTTGCCAACCTCATAATCTATGAACCTCTGAGATGGCATGTTAGATTTATTTAGCACTGGATAGTCGTGTCAAAAAATTTTGCTGCGGGTTTCACGTCTAGAATGAAATAGCGTTTGAATTCAGTAAAATGGGATCTCTTACGGTAGCGGCGCACTAACACTTTCGCAAGCAGTTTGGTGTTGAACTAGACATTCTCTAAACGAACGGCAATTTAGCAGCTACTGAATTTGTGCGTCTTCCTAAATTTAACCTGTTCCCATTCGAACTGGTATAAATAAAGAATGAATTTATCAGTGCTTTGTGTCAGTCCATTTATTCTGCTTGTGCATGTCCTATTTAAGTTTAATGAAAGAGCGATGTGTCGCGTAAAAAAAGAAGCGTGGCATGCATCGATCCACTTGAGAAGCACCCTCAGTTGCTGCGAATAAAAGATAGTAGGGATTTGTGATTACATGCATCAAGTACAAATAATATCAAAGAATCGGCGCGTTGATGCGCCCTTAGAACGATGTTATTCGTAGAGACCAGATTCACATGTACATTTTTGAAACAATTTTGTCTGTGAAGACCGCACATCGCTTATATGCACCGGTTTATCAAAATTAATCCGGAGCAAGAAAAATTGTACGTTGATACTAAATAAATTGTTCTCGTTGCCCCAAAATTCTGTCATAGGCAAGTTGCTGTGTCCGAAGGAGCTATGGGTTTTATTTCAGGATTTACAAATTATCAGGACGGCGGCAAAACGGAGGGCAATTTTGGCATTTGGGATTTGGTTATGGCCCTGGAATGGATACAAACAAATATGAAGCAGTTGAACGGCAACCCATCGCAGGTCACTATAATGGGCGAAAGCGCGGGCGCAGCTGCTGCTTCTGTACTCGCTGTATCACCGAGAACCAAAGGTTCATTTCTGCAAAATTCATGTGTTTTGTAAGAGAAAGAGCCATAAGTAAGGCTGGAAAAACCAAGACTCTTCACAGTAGTTATACTGAGTAGCAGCATACAAAAAGCGGGATTTAGGCGGTTTTTCTGAGTCGTTCTCATCGAAAACCTTCTCATTACTTGGTTTGACACTTCGAAGGAATGTAATAATAATAATGACAATAATAATAATAATAATAATAATAATAATAATAATAATAATAATAATAATAATAATAATA